TATATATATATATATATATTATCGCTTCGCTAAAATATGTTTCAAAACTAAAAATATCAATAATAATTCCTATAACATATCTAATAAATAAACAGATTCATAAAAAAAAGGAAACAAATAAACAAACTAATTAAAATAAAATAGTAAAATTAATAGTAAGCTACAAGAAATAGCTGTAATAAATATCATTGTGTGTATTTAATAATTTATCACCTGTATTATCTGCTCCTCTTGGTATTATAACATCTGCAAATTTTTTTGTTGGTAAGCAGAATTCTTCAAAAGCTGGTTTTACAAAGTTCATGTACTGATTTAGGACGTAATCCAAATCCCTTCCACGTTCCTTTATGTCCCTTGGTACTAAAAAAATCGATTAAAATAGTTTAGAGAGAAACGCAAGTCAATCAATTTACATCACATGGGGAATTACCTCTTCTCGCAAGCCTGGTATCAGAATCAGTGTCTACGAACAATTTCATGTGAAACAAATCACGAATTTTAGGAAAGTAGAATACCAGTATTCCTTCAAACAGCACCACATCGGCAGGATATATCGTGGTAACTTGATCTTTCATTCTACAATAAATTAATACCAACTACCTTTTTTATACATAGTAAATGTATCTTTTGTAATATTCATCTAAAATTTGTTTTTTATAAACATGTTTTCAAATTTTGCATTATATTTGAATTATTTTATAAATAGTTCCTCTATTTCTATTAACAAGCATAGAAATAACTTTCAATTAGATATTAAAACGGTACATACAAACTGTTTGTCCTATAATCATAAGCTGGTATTTCACACTTGACCCCGGCAAGTATATCCTGTAGCGTTTGTAAGATTAGATCATCATCAAATGCATCAGGATGATCAAAATTGTACTGCCCCTTCTCAGCTTTCAATTTTTCAGCAGGTGTCAGGTTGCGGTAAAAGCTGTCTTGTGATATGCAGACTACCCGGCGCTGCTGATGATCCATATCGACTTGTCCTAATTTCTCCATTATACGCTTGCATACTGTGGACTAAAACAATTAAAAAAAAAAAGTTGACATCATATACAATCAAAATTAAATATAGTTACTGATCTTTATAACTAATGCCACAGAGTCTGATTAATTATTACATTAACTAGACCTTTGTAAAAACATTCCTTTCTTACAATATTGAATTTATTTGTTTCAAAATAAAGTTAACATTGTTGCACGAGTCCTTATACGTCAATACTGTCTATATATATTAAAGAATATAAATTACTACTTACAAAGATATCGCGATCTTTTTTTACAAATAGTTACCACAAAAGTAGCATGAGTTTATGTAATTCGTGCAGAAGTTAAAAATTAACAAATTCTTAGAAACATTTTCTGATCGTAAAGTAGTTCTGTTTATATTCCGATATGTCAAATAACGTGTACTAACAAATGTATATATATACATATATATATTAAAAATAGAAAACAAAAAAAAACAGTTGCTAAAGATTGGTCAACACTCGTGCATAATTCGTGCTATTTTTATAACAACTGATTCGATTTTTGTTATTGTATATTAATTACACATGTACGATATCCTTACTTTTCCACTTGCAGTGCCGCCGGAGACGCCTATCAGAAAAGGCGTCTTGCTCTCGACGCCGTTAAATTTGCCGTTTATACCGAAGGACATTTTCCGCGTGATGCCCACATTCGTTGACATATCTGCCATGTTGTTGTAAGCACGCAAAGACAAGTTGATTTTGTTGAAAATAAATTTTCGCCAGACAAACAGACGCACTTGACTCTCGAAGGAACTAACCAAGAACTTCACCTTCACCGACTAACATGTGTAAACAACGCAGCGCAGACCAACGTTTCGTGAACGATCCTCAGCGAGAGTGAACGAGAGACGAGAGGAGGCCGATAAAAACTTTATGCGATAGCCGGCCACGTGTATTGTAAAAAAAAGGCGCCAAATCCACGCGTTTATTTAAAAAATCGTTATACAAAGGAGGAATATTGTTGCTTAAATTTGAATTGTTTTTCTACAAAAATAACGACATTAGAAAGTTGCGCTAAATCATAAGAATAAATTATTTATTTTATTTTATTCACAATATAAAATTTTATTTCCTTTATTATTAATAATAAAATTTTGTTATACATATAGTTTGTTTAGTTATAATAATTTTGATAAATATCTAGAATAACATCCTCTACTTAGATTTTGATAAAAATACACTTAATCGACGCCTTTTTGCATAAAAACAAAAATTTGAAAAATAAAAATCATTGCTGCACATGTTTATATCGCCAGAACGAAATTCTGGCGATATGAACATGTGCAGCAATGAAAAAGTATTCGAAATTTGAATATTTGAAAAAATGATACAGCTGCGTTCGGAAACATCACTCGTGTGCACACGAGCGTCGTTCTATCTTTGTTATGTATCAAAAGTTGAACAAAGATAGAACGACGCTCGTGTGCATACGGGTGATATTTCCGAACGCAACCTTCCGCATGTTTACTATTTATTGTTTATATTTTGCGCGGGCGCGGGCTATTTCATTGGTTGAATGAAATCTTAAGATGACACAAGACCACACTTAAGACCAATGAGTAAAGAATCACAGGAGAGAGCATATCGGTGGTGGTAGAGTCTTATATAATAATCAGAGAGGCGACATCGTTACCCCCTCCATGCTTCTCATGATCGCCATGTTGGGCCCGCAGCTATCCATTTGTAAATCTAAAATGTCTTAAAAATGTCTCAGAGATATTTAAATTTTTTTTTTTAGAAAATAACATTACAAATATACTTTTTTCTCACTTACGGTACGCCGTACGTTGCGGTTAGTTTGCACGTAAGATTCACTATTCACTACGGGACCAACATGGCGGTCAGCGACAAGCGAGATGCTATTATCGCCTCTTTGATTATATAGGACTCTAATATGAGGTAACGTTCCGTCTCTTTTCCAAATAGGAGCGCGAGAGGGAACGTGACCTCATATTAAGGTTATATATAAGAAGGTTAAGGGCCAATTTCACCAAGTCCGGTTAGATTAACCGACGGTTAAAATTAGCAGGGTTCCAACTGAAATTATATGAATGTTTGGTTTTCCTTCACCTCTAATCTAACCGGACTTGGTGAAATTGGCCCTAAATGAGCCCCGATTACTCATAATGCAATGCAAAGAATCGATGTGTGAGCAGTCGCTATTGAAAAGAGATGCTAAATAAGGTAGACTGTAAGGCCGGTATTCATAGTCAGTTCTTATTTCAAGACCGTCTTAAGTAATATCTTAAGATGCTAATACGGCTCTGTGATTGGTTTAGGACATCTTAAGACTGTGCTTAAAACGGTCTTAAATATAAGAACTGACTACCCACTCGGCATGTAATATTGCTGAAATACTGTAATGTTCGGAAATGGTAATACCGGCCTAAGAGTGCCATTACATGGAGCGCGGAAACGCGGAAACACGGAAGAGAATTGTAACTAGAAAAGTAACTATTCCGCGTTTCCGCGAATTGAGTTCTTTCCGCATATTTGAGCGGAATCCGCGGAATCCGTTACCGTCTCAACAAAACTCAACAAAAGTGTATAGAAAATATAAAAACTTTATAAATAGATGGTCCTGTAAGTATTTGAATGCTTTTTAGTACTTATAAACATAGTAGCTTGTTATTTTTGGAGACATTCTGAGATAGTTGCCACATACGGAACATTTTTCGTGACAACTTTCAATCTAGGTAGATAACTCTCCTTACTCTTCCTTTATGAACTTAACCTTCTTATATATAACCTTACCTCATATTATCTGCCTCTCATTTTACTCGTGCGGTTACCCCTTCTACCATAGACATAGTGTTGAGGAGTGGGGGCCAAGGTGCACGTAGAAAAGGACATACTCCACTTCTTAAATAAAGGCAAACGCTCGGTCTAGATATACTATGTCTATGTCCCTTCCATCTTCCACTGCCATCAGCAGTCCATTCTGTCGATGGTACTATAATCTATAATTCTCTGAACAGAAGCCGAGGCTGAGGTTACTGCTTGAATCGAACGATATTGAGGGAATGGCTCTTCGATTAGGACGAAAACACGTCGAATTAGCTGGGAAATGGTGATTCTTCTCTTTTGACATTTTAGGATATGATCTTTTTTTTTACATGATCTCAAATAGACAATGGTGTGAGTGGTCACATTTGATCACTTTTCCCATTTGTTTCCAAGATTTCTAATGTATAATGAAACATGACATAAGAAAATATTTGTTCATTACAATTTTCTTGTGTTTTGTCCCTTTTTCCTGTCTCCAGGTTAAAAATATCTATTTCATTTTAACACAAATAGATTTGTGTTGCATTATATATATATATATATGCACGTATATATATATTGGACACTCCATCTCTCTTTATATAAAATATTTTTACACCTTAGGCTTCCAACTGCGATGACCTATGGAACTGCTGGATCATTAACATTTTTGTATTTCACCGATTGGAAAGCAGTATTGCAATATGTTCCTTTCTATAGTGGCAAATATGAGGAATAAATCACACAATAGTCATATCAGTTCTCCGATATGATTATGTAATAATTCTATTGGAACTATATAGAGATTTTATTGTACCGTACTATTTACATCTTTTGTTTATTTAAATAAGAATATTAATAAAGAATCATATAAATAACAATGTAGCAATATACAATATTGTCTTGATTTCAACTTTCATTTTGTTCCTGCTGTAAAGTTCTTTTCTTGCGTAGCTCGTAAATAATGTTTGCATGTTCTTCTGCTTGGGCACTTCTATTTTTCATATACCATGGTTTTACATAAATCCTGTGAAGGAAAAGGACAGCCTAAATCTAACCGGGATATCTATTTCATTTACTGTAATAATAATGTATAATATAAAATAAAATTGTATCTTAAAAAAATGAAAAGAAATATATTTACCTAAAACACGTTACAAGCAAGGCTCCACCAATTACTACAAGTCCGAATTTGCTAAACTTCTGAATTAACAAATTCTTGGTTTTTGCTGATAAGCTGTAAAATGTTTGTTACACAATATCTCGAAAATTTTAAATAGGAAAAAGAATATAGAGAAACTAGAGATCATGGGAAACTTTTGTCCATAATAAAATTTATCTTAAAAAATGCAGAATAGCTTTCTATCTCCAAAAAATTAGACATATAAACAAAGAAATTTTAGAATTAATATGTTTTTCTCTCTTACACCCTTTTTCTATTAAACGCGTCAATTAATTTTAATTTTTGCTATAAAATATTAATAATATAATAAAATAATATTAATATATTAATTACTATAATTATGAATACTAATGTTAGATAACAATCGTAAAATATTATTCGATTCTCAAATATATGCGGCGTATAGGTTAGGTCAGATGCAAACTTTATGAAACAATTTGATTTACCTCATTTGACTTTTCCTTTTCCACGAGTTCCCTCTCAAATTGTTCTTTCAAATGTTCCTGCAATAGACCTTTCCAATTATATAAACCGGTGATTGTTCCTAAAATCAGTACAACGTAAAATTGATCTTTACTGAATCCTTGTGGCACTCTAATCCTCATGATAATACATATACTAAATGCTAGTTTTTTTAGTGTGAATGTGAATCCGAGTATGTATATATATACATATATGGTAACTTTATTATGAAAGATTTCGCTTTGAATTGCTTTTATCGCAAATTTTATGCACCAGCAACAAATGGGAAATAATAAACTCATATATTGTATGAATTTTTTATTAAATAAAAAAATCGTTATCAATTATCATTATTTATATATATAATATTATTTGAATTGTATGGGATATTTCGCATTAGATATCCGAGTAGGCTGATTATAAAAATAAATTTACACATGGAGCATATTATATTCATCTGTTTTTATATTTAGTTACTTCCGTCTCTCATGAAAAGTATCAAATTACTCTCCTAGAGAAGTAATGAAGACTTAAACCTTGCCAGAGAATTTATAAAACTTATTAAATGTATTTAATTGTACTTTAAAAACTTCCTGCAATGATGTTGGTAATGTACGTGATAAAAAGGCAATTCCATGCTGGTCACAAATGCTAATTAGTTGACATAAAGAATTATACAAAGCCATCTGCAATATAGAAGTGTGTGACACAATTGTTATTAAAAACAATTCAATAAAATAACGGTCATATGCAAAGATATTACCTTAATATAAGATGGTATAGCGCCTTCCACACACAATTGCAAGAAATCGGCTATCACATAGGGACTTGGTCGAATCATATCTTTTTTCAATTTTATCAATAAGCCTGTAAGTCTATTGACAAAATATCTATTACTTTTTTATCAAATTACCATTAATAAACAAATTACACATCGATATATTCTGATGTATATCGTATAAAACTCTTTTCCAATTAAACGATTTAAACTTACTTTTCGATATCGAGCGCGAAACATCTAAATCGGTGTTCATCAAATTTATCGGTCACGCTTTTCGATGCGTAAACAATGATATTTACTACATTTCTATACAACAACAATAAATTAGGTAATCTATCTATTATCAAATTTGTTTTGACTTTCATTAGTGTTTCACAGATGGCGAGCACTTTATCGCATGACGATATTTTTACTTTGACAAGCGATTTTAAACTAATGAGTATGATAAGATCAATTGTAGTATCGGGAATAAGTAAGTGCTTAACACTGATTATATCGTGAGATAAGTGCAATATATCTGACCAGTATTTGTCAGGAATATCCAACGAGAGCATGATTTCAAATAAATTGTTGATTGCATGCAAACGCGCTTTATTACGCTTGACTCTCATATCTGTCTTCATTGTGCCGCTCCAAATGACAAATAAATTCGTCCATGCTGCTTCATCTGCTTGTGACAAGCTATCAATCTATATAAAAAAAATATTACAAAATATATACATAGATATTATCAATAATATATTAATAGCATATATATTAATAAAGGAAAGAGGGAAATTTACCGTCTTAGCATACAGCAATCTTAAAAATTCATAAAATTCTTTTGATTCAGGAGATGCCAATAACGCTTCGAGTAAATTCTTGCAAGGATGCTTCAATATTATAAACCATAAGTTTTTGATGGTCGTATCTTGGATCTCGAACATTTTACGATGTCGTAAAACGATAATAGCCAATTGTACACTTTGTTGCAACAATGTATTATTATTTGTGTTATTTGTATTCTTTATTATCTCTCTCTGAAAAGAAAAAAAAATGTTTATTTTTATTAAACACTGAAGTACAATATGTGTAAGTGTGCGCGCGCGCGCGTGTATGTGTGCGCGTGTGAGAAATATATATATATAATTTCTTCTATAATACTTACTGTGACTATATTTTCGAGAGTTAATTCAGTCAATTTTTTCAAAGTATTAAAAGCTTTTCCAGTTGATACTGTTATTTTTAATACTGCTGTCAAATATTTTACATCAGAAGCATTGTTTATTTTTTCAGGTAATATTTTTAAAATAGCTTTGGCTAATCTTTCCTCTGCCTTTCTAAAAATAATTTTTTGCTCAGTATCTAGTTTTGGTTTGACCACCTCCATGCATTCCAAAAGATTGTGCATAGTTTCCTTGCATTGAGCACAACTTTTTATGAGATTCTTGAAAGTGGTGTATGTTTTCACATTGCGAAGAGAGAATTCACAAGCTTTCAAAAATGCTTTATTTGGTGGTAACTGATTTACCAATATTATTGGTTCTATATATTGAAATATGTCGATTCCGATTTTTTCTAGTAAATCTAGAAGATTTGTAACATTTTTATTATGTATTATAAAATAAATTTTTTATATATTCCAGATTTCTCTTTCTTTCTCTCGTTACATATAAATAGTAACTAAAAAATTAAGAAGAAACATACAACACACAAGTTTAAAAAAAATAAAATTACCTGAAAAGATCATCTTGCATAATATCAATATTTCATTTTTTTCACATTCTCTGCTAATAGAATATACAAGCAGAAATATTAACGTTCTTATATTAGAATTAAAATACATCATCGGTAAATGAAGCAATAATTCCAAATGTAATTTTATTTTAGAAGTAGTTGCATTTGTCATTTGAACCCATTGCTCTTGTGATGATATCAATTCTTTTATAATTTGCAACATTCCCAGCATATCATCATGATCGTTCTCCATCAACAATTTCTATAGTTTTATGTAATTAGAATATTTCAGAAAATTTCGACAAAGATATAATTTAGATTTACAATTATTAACTAAAAAATTGAAAAGTTATCAGCAATAATTTATACAATATTATACTTACGGCATTAATGTGTTCTGTAATGGTTTTTGTACATCCTGATGATGAACAGTGTTCAATTTGGATGAAAATGTGGTTTAAGAGACACATTACAAAACGTCTATTTTCTTGAAGACAATCATTATCTAATAAACCAAGCCATTCACGAAAATTCTTTTCACTTGATGTCATATCATCTAATAATAAACATGTCACTTTGGATATCTCTTTGTCACTTAATAATGGAAGTATATCTGTGTTATATTTCAAAATAGAACTCCAAGCATACTCGACGCCGCCTATTAAACTGTAAAGTTTAATAGGTTCATTTGATGTATTCAATTTTATTCGATGTAAAATAAGTTTATTCTGAAATTATGACAAATATAAGCTTTGTAGAAATATTAATTAAGAATTAAATATATTATGTGGTGAATTCTCATAACATTTTTACAGGTACCATGATATTTTTGCAATTGTCTTCTCCAAAATTAGTTATTCTCTGAATTAATTGTTGCCAAGGGTCATCCAAGATTGGGAACAATAGTTTTTTCGTATCAGCACCTTTCGGTACATAATATTTTAACAAATCCTGCATTTCGCTCAATGATTGCACTGCACTTAACAGTAATATAATAACATTTTTATCATGACTTAAACACAATGCTTTGTTTATCAACAATGATAAAGCATTTCCCAGTTTGTCTAAATCGTTAACAAACTTCTCGTGAGTGGACAGTGTTCTAATATATTCAAAAATCTGTGTACCTTCAAAAAGTACAACAAGCAATTCTATTGTTGCCTGTAATATTAATATATTTTTACCTGTAATATTAATACATTTTTATCCTTCATATTTAAAGAAGAGAGATATAAATTGCATTCTAATAATATTTCTAGCAACATTTCTGCAAAGCATCGTTGCTTTACTATAAATTATATATACATATGTATACAGAATGTCTGGAGTCAATCGCATCACCCGTCGTGTGCAGATAGAGCAGGTGAAACCGAGGAGAAAAGTCCTTTACCATTTTGTGATTTTCGTAATAATTATTGAGAAATTAATTTAAGAAAAAACGATCAATTCGCGCGAGTATTAGCGCGCGGTAAAACAATACGGCCCATTGATATGTTGTTGCTAGGACACAAGAATCCAGCGCTCGTGTACCGCTCGTACGTAACCGTTGTCATTTATAGAGCACTCCTCCCAAAACTACGTCGCGCGCCTAGCAACCGTAAACTTCTGGGTTGTCTCTTCTCGCTGCGCGCTTATACTCGCGCGAATTGATTGATCTTTGCTAATTAATTTCTCAATAATTATTACGAAAATCGCTAAATGATACAGGACTTTTCTCCTCGATTTCACCTGTTCTAGCTGCACACAATGGGTAATGCGATTGACTCCGGACACCTTGTATATATAATTTATATATCAAATATATATACAAAAATTCTTACGTGAAGTATTATATTCCAACAATTCTACACAATCTATATTTAAATAATATATTAATGTTCTTAAAGTTGCAATCGTTTGTGAACTGGAAAAGTTGCTAATTATTTCTCTCAGTTTCATTCTAAATTCGTATGAAAAGAATGATGTGTTCGTTTTGTACGTTTTCCTCATTGTCAAATGCTGCTTCAATGATATTAATAATTGCGAGATCAACTTTTGTTCACATCTCAATTTATTACTGGAGTGCAAAATAGCGATTAATAAGTTTGTGTAATCAATAGTTTGTTCTTTCATTAATACCTTGTTAAAAATATCTGGAATATTTCTTTCTATTAAAAGTGGATTGATATACGAAAGTTGCGTAAGTATACCATAATGTATGCATGTAATGTTGTCATATGTTAAAATGTCGCTTATAATTTTCTGAAAATATTCAAATAGTGTGACATTTTCTATAATATTATCAAAGTCGAGTGTTATGCCATTTAGTAGCTTGAGGAAAGCATTCAAGATTTCCCACTTATATTTCCCAGAGGAGTTAATCAGATTTCTGAAAAATGCATCCAATAAAGCAGCGTCTAATTTGTAAGTGCCTAGTATAACGCGAAAAATAAACTGATATGTTAGAAAATTATTCTGAAAATTTAATGTTTCCACATTTTCAGATAACGTGCAAAGTAAATCAGAGAACATTGTTTGGACATTTTTTGAGGTTTGTTCATTTCGCATCGATTTGGTTTCTCTGAGTAACAATTGTTGGATACATTTGTACGCCACTACACCAAGCTTATTTGTATTATCTGTATGTCTGTGATCAATTAAATTACACATAGGATATAAAATATCCTGTATGAAAATTGATCTTAATTCTTTTTTTGTGGCTATCAATTGTTTATATATTTGCATTAAACTTTCAATAATACTTATTATAGCATAATTTTCCACAAGTGATAATTTACATGGCTCAAGTAATTGATCATATTCTTCTTGTATTGCATTGTGACAACTGGAATGCTCCAATACATTATTAAATAAGGTTTTTACTAAGAAACCTAGATTCTTTGGTTTGTTCATAAAATATTGTCGCATACTGTTATTAATAAGAATTAAGCTGCAGCATTCAAGAATTTCTTCATATACATCTGTCATATCACTATTTAATGTTTGCGCAAGCATATCAACCAAACGTTGTTTCGTATTGGTCTTAATGTCAATATGAGCAGACTTTAAACAATTATTCAAACTTTTCCAAGCATGTCGATTCGTGATACAAATTTTACACAGCCATTCCAGGAGCAAGTCCTCTTTGCGAACGAGTGGTAGATCCGTAGCAGAAAATGCAATTTCTGCTAATTTTATACGTTTCGGCAAAGGATTGTCATCTGAATTTAAACGTTTTAATAATGCTGCAACATTGTATTACCATAAAAAATTACTGTAAAAAGCGCACAATTATGTTGATTACAGTGGATTTTAGGTTATACGGTGTCACCCGTATCTCAAGAAAGATTAGTAGGAACTGTTCACTCACCCTTTGACAACGCCATTGTGATAATTTACAAAATTTCTTGATTTATCTTGCAATACTCGTCGTATTTTGGTTGATTACATAAATATATAAAATATATATAATTATTAAGAAAACTATATCTCAACGCCGAAGCAGCATAAGGACCAATTTCACCAAGTCCGGTTAGATGAACCGACGGTTAAAATTAGCAGGGTGGCCAACAGAAAATAGAGGTGAAGGAAAACTATGAAGGAAGAGTAAAGGCTGGTTTATGCAGGCCGTGAAGGTGCCTTTACATGGCAGCGTTAAGCGTCGAGCGTCTGCGCAGAGAATTGCGCAGAATCTAATTTCAGCCTAGAATCTATCTCGTTTAAATTCTGCGCATTTTTCTGCGCAGACGCTCGACGCTTAACCCTGCCATGTA